TAGCAAAATAAACCCTAACCCTAACATTAATTAACAAATAAACTAAATTACATGGTGAAAATGTTGTTTAGTCAGACTCATGCAACTGTGGATTGTAACGGTAATTTCAGCCTGTAATCTCTTCTTTTTTTTATGCATTATTATTCCTTCAGCCTGCATACCTTTTCTTTAGGTTTGTACATTATTAAATAAGTGGGGCAATATTCTTTGTTTAGCCTGTATTTGTTGTCACCTGCATTTATTAACAATTTATGCATTAAATAAGTGGTGTAGTAATATCATTAATAACACATGTTTGCTGTCACTTAGGAGAGTTGTTGTGGTTTACTTGGAAAATAGTGTCATGTTTGTTAGAGATAAGATTATGCTCTTTATATATGATCGATTTTTGTCTAACCAGGAATTCAATATTCCCTATTCTTTTTTAGTTTATAGCTAAATGTCTTTTCTTTTAGTCTGTCTGTCTCAACACATATGATGGATTTCTACTGGGGGTGTTTTTGGATTTTATTTTGTGCTGGTTTTTTAGGTGGTCAAATGTCAATTCTGAAAAGTTATATGGCAATCATTTTTCTTACGGGTGGGTTCCAAGGTTTCCAGTAATGTCTTTTCTTTTAGTCTATCTGTCTCAATACATATGATGGATTTCTACTAGGGGTGTTTTTGGATTTTATTTTGTGCTGGTTTTTTAGGTGGTCAAATGTCAATTCTGAAGAGTTATATAACAATCATTTTTCTTACGGGTGGGTTCCAAGGTTTCCAGTAGGCTATTGATGTGTTTTTTGGTTTCTCTTAGATTTAAGTCTGCATTTCTTTAGCCACTGGTTGTTGCCCTTTTTTTTTTTTCTTCATTGCCTTTCTTACTAGTTGTTGCACTATCAGTTTAGTCTTTATTCCCTCTCTCTATTCTTTGTTTAGTTATTTTTAACATTCTTGTTGCAATATTTTTCATTCATAACTTCCGCATTGATGTTGGTGGCTAGCTTTATTTTTTCTTCCCTTGCATTTCATTATGCTTTTAGTTATACACATTGCTCTATTTGACCATAATTAATTTGTGTGTTGCCTATGTTCTTAATAGATTTGTTAAACTTTTGTACTGTTAAGCTTTTGGTTGGTTGAAGGTTGTTGTAGTATATAAATCAAGTGTTAAGCTTTTAGCATTTAAGAGCTCTCACGTATCGATTCTAATTATCCAATAATTTAATTATTAAAATTTTATTTTGCCCTTGGTTTGTGTGGGGTACTAGATATTTTAAGGAGGATATTTAGTGTTTTTTGTTTAATTATACACATCGAGTAATACATTCGTAGTTCTAGATCCACTTTGCAAGCACCACTGTGCAGCACTTCCATCTCCTAACCCAGAACCATCAATGTTCTGATTTGCTTCTTCATGGTTTTCTGGTGCGATGCGAGGCCGCTTAAAGATTTGTTGACATGCTTCATTGTCGGGGGAGTGTGAGCATTTCTTTGTTAGTGTAGCTCGATTGTGGGAGTTTTAGTGGCTTTATATATGGCGTTAACATATTTGAGCTGTTTTTTATGCATCAGTGGCTCTTCTTAGAATAAGGAATGTTAATGTTAGCTAAGCTGGTAAGTGTAGATGGGTGTTGGCTTGGTTTGGTCCTTGGTAAGGCTTTGATTTTTTTTTATTATTATTATTGATTGTTGCATCATTTGGTGTGGGAGATGCAAGATTTGGGACCTCTAATTTTTTAAAATTTGTTTGGTGTTACAAGATTTGACATGGGTGTTGTAGGATTTGAGGCCTCTTATTTTTTATAATCTATGGGTGTTGCAGAATCTAGCATAGTTGTTGCAAGGCTTGGCACGGGTGTTGCAGGATTTGGTATTAAATAAATGTGGTTGTACCAGGTTGCTTGCTAGTTGTTTGGGATGGTATTGTTCGGGTTCTGTTGGCTTGGATGTGTCCGGTTTATAGGAGATAAGTTTTTTTTTCCTCTACTCTGGTTTCATTAGGTTTCTAATTATGATTTATGTACTGTTTGTTTAATTATGGGGATTGTTTAGATAGTTTTTGCTCTTCTCTGGTTTCATTAGGTTTTTTATTGTCATTTCTTTACTGTTTACTTAAATCTAGGGATTTTTTTTATATGGATTCTAACTGGGGTTTTGAGGTGCATTCATCCTTTTATTATATTATTTTCTTTTCTTTATATTATTGGTATCATCTCTTTCTTCTAGAGGTGCAGAATGTGTGTGTGTATATATAACTCTTTCTTCTAGAGGTGCAGAATGTGTGTATATATAGTGGTATTTAGAATGTTTGTTTTATTTTTTAGTTCACTTTTAAAGCTTCTAGTGCCTTTATTGGTCTGTATTTGCTTGCTCTATTATTTAGTTACCTTATTTGATTATCAAGGATTGTTGGTTATTATTTAAATTGATTTTTTTTTTTTGTTGAGGATCTTGACCTCTTTGTTTGTTAGAAAGTTGCAGTAATTATTACTATTCTATAACTAGAAAGAAACTATGTGCTTACCAAGTTTGTTGCCTATATGTTGGCAATGTCTCTGTGTTTTATCAATTTCAATTTGTGTTTTTTTTTGTCATTTTTAGAGTTAGGTTTCTATTTTGGTAACTATGGAGCATGCATTTTGTGATGTATTCAAGAGGTTTTTAGTGTTGTTTTTCTCTTGCATGCCTTTGTCACTATGTGTGTGTTAGCTGCTTGTTATTTTGGGTTTGTAGTTAGTTTAAGTGTTTGTTCAAGGAAATAGCTACTAATTTGTTTTAGAGCATTGGATTTTTTAGTTGGGCTATTGTTTTTGTTTAGATTTTCATGTTTTGCGGGAACTTTCCAGAGAGAGAGGTTCTTTTTGCTCGTGGTGTAAAACTCTTGGGGTGGTTGGGATGGGCTTAGGAATTGTGGGCTAGTATAAGAAAACAACAATTTATCTTTGAAGGGTTTTGAATTGTTGAATCTAACATGGTTATTGGTTTTGTTTTCCTTAATTTATCAGTCTTCATGGTTGGTTGTTAGGTTGTTTGGTTCTGTTTTAGGTTCAAGAAAACAACAGTGTGATTGACTTAGGTTCATATTTCAATTTTATTATGTATTTATTAAGACTTTTAGTAGTTTTTTTTTTATAGGCTCTTTTTTTATGGGATTCTATTGGGTTGGTTGGTCTGTGTTGATGCTTCATATCTTTTATGCCTGTTTTATAACTGATTATTGGGGTTTTGTTGCTAATGTTTTGTAACATTTTCATAGACTCGGTTGCTGCTGCTGCGCTTGGGTTTGCTAGGGTTTGCTAGGGTTCTTATGTTGTCCAGGTTAGTTGTTTATGGCTTTGCAGTGTTTTTTGCTTTGCTTAGTTCCTGTTTGAGTACTCTGTTTTTTTTTTTTAGAGTTAGTTGTTGTGTAATCTGTTAGAAAATATGGATTTTCTTTTGGAATTGTTTAGCCTTTTGAGGTTTATTATTGGTTGCATGTTTTTAGTTCTTTGTATCAAATTAGACTCACATTTTGATTTTGTTGTGTTTTCTTCTCTGTGATTGTATAGTCTTTTTTATACTACTTTTCATTTGTATGTTAGCTTCTTCATGTATATTTAATCTTTTTTAAGAATTGCTCGGGTTGCTATTTGAGGATTTATAGTATAATTGATCAATTTTTCTTACATTTGTTTGAGTTTTAATTAATCAATGCATTTTGGTGTAGTGATATGTTTGTATTTGTATGCTTTGTTACTATGTAAGCATTTTTCTTTTATTATTCTCATATTTGGTTCTCTTGATTTATTGGTCTTTAGATTTTTTTTTTTATATATATAAATGATCACTCGATTCTGTTTTGGATTGTATTTGAGGTTTAATTAATGTTTTTTATGTTTATACAAGTTTTTTAGAATTGTTTTTATTGTTCTATATTTTTTAACTTTGCTTTTGGTTCGTATAAAAGGATTGTTGCAGGTTTGGGCAGATTTTTTTTAAAAAAAAATTCATGAGTATTGCCCTCATAATTTTTTACTGTGTTGCATTTCTTCGAATTCATTTGTTAGTAAACCATCATGTACATTGTTATTTTACTTATCAATGCCTTTGTTGAGATTCTTTTATGCTTCCATTTACCAAATCTCTTACATTTGGTTATTGTTATAATGTTGATCTTTTATTTTGATTCTGATCTCTAACGAACATGTCATTTTTTAAGATTTTTTTTAAGGTGAAGTGGCTTTTAATGTTTGTTAAACACGATAATTAGTGGAGGGAGATGTCAAAAATCTGAACATGTCATTTTTTAAGATTTTTTTTAAGGTGAAGTGGCTTTTAATGTTTGTTAAACATGATAATTAGTGGAGGGAGATGTCAAAAATCTGAACATGTCATTTTTTAAGATTTTTTTTTTTAAGGTGAAGTGGCTTTTAATGTTTGTTAAACATGATAATTAGTGGAGGGAGATGTCAAAAATCAGAAGACAACTATTAATTATAGGGTTAGGATGGTTTTCATATTATTATTATTATTATTATTATTATTATTATTATTATTGTTGTTGTTGTTGTTGTGAGATATAGAAAACCATGTGGAGTGATAATTGTAAATTCTATAATTTATTTTTTAAAGAAAAAATGGTGAGAGTAATAATAGCCGTGGCACTCTGACGACAGAGCAATTGGATATTTATTTTTTAAAGAAAAAATGGTGAGAGTGATAATAGCCGTGGATGAAAAAAAATTGGGATGATGGGCTTGTAGTTGAAGGATGCAAGGAGACAGACATGGGAAACTCGCAAGAACGAGGGCATGACGGCACTCTGACGACGGAGCAATTGGATGCAACACAAACAATAATATTATAAAAATTTTGTTTATTTTTGTGCTAGTTTGTAAAATATTTTTTAAAAACAACTCCATGGTTCATCCATGGCAAATTGACAATAGCATTACATTACATGGACATGGAACCACTCCAATACCTTACAAGATCCACCTCCATGCCTATTATATGATAATCATAATAAAACAAAAAAAAAAAGAATAAAACTCAATTAATTTGCCATAAAAATTACAAAAGGAGTATACAATCAGAATCTTGGATATTCTAAGCATATACAAGCACTGTAAAGGGGAAAGCAAATATAAAGAATACTAGTAGTTTAACCTTGCCTTGCCCAGATAAATGAACCCTGCTGCAAAATTAATGTGAAAATTGATTTTGTACACAAGCGGTGAACAGTTCATGTGAAATTTGAACTTCTGTAATCTCATTCATCAACCTGATTTTTTCTGGACGTCCAGTAGTGAATACAACCGTGGAACAGTGACTTGTCCAAAGTAGGCGTAACTTTGAAAATCAAGGAATGAAATCAACTGTTAAGACCTTTCCTGGGTATCTTTGATGTTCTTCGTTCTTTGTGAATCCATTTCTGGTGTAGTTTGCTGGCCTTCTGTGCTTGCGCTGAGTGGGTTCTGATCAGACTCACCGGCGGATCCACTGCATTCTTGGCTGCTTGTACTTGCTGGTGGGTTCACTGTGCTATCATGCTCAAGACTTTCTAGTGCTAACTTCCTGAATTTCTTCATGTCCTCCTCATGTTGCCGAGTGCTATAACCTGAGCTAGCAGAACTGTATACTGTGCTAAGACCAGGAGTGATCCCGTCATTCAGTTCATCTAGAGGCATATTTCCTTCCAAAGCTCGAACTATCTGATTTGCACAAAAAATGCAGGAGGGTTACATGCCAGCATAAAGTGTAGTTCCAATATTTAAGATTCCAAACAATATTGGTTCAGGTGAAAGTCAAACTAACAATATCTCACATATATCAAAATTCCAAACAAAACAGGCAATTTGGAACACCAGATATCATCTAAAATATTGTTTGAGTTTTAAATGCTTAAAAAAATAAGTAGGACATCAACTAGTTTATGAAGGACATCGTAGGAAGAAGAGAAGAGTTAAACTTCGTATCAACATGGAATGAATAAAGCAAAGACACCTATTCGAAAGCAAAAGCAGTATACTTGGCACTTACAGAATTACCTGGCTCATTCGCGGTCGAAACCGTGCTAAATGACGTACACAAGCGGCAGCACAATGAATCATTCGAGCCATTTCATTAGAATCATAGTCCTGCAGTTTTGGGTCGACAACAGCATCGTAGTTGCTATCTTCCAAAGCTTGTTTGAGCAAAGGCCTTGCCTGTTATTCATGAGAAAATGTTATTTTCACAGGGCAATCCATTTCCAATATTCCACCTATCATTAATTTTTTGGCTGTGTGTTCATGACCTCATAGTTGAACTTCAGAATACCACTTAAAGAAAACATGAAAGCACAAAAGCATACAGTGCCTGAGAAGATATCAACTGCCATTGCAGATAGAATTCAACTCAATCACCGGCAATCGATACCTCTACCTACTAACATGGGCTATAACAACCTTTACACCAGTCACCACCATACACATCTGGTAATAAGCATTGGCATAAGTAAGAAACTACAGAACACCAAGAATTGGCTCAGCAATCAACAATTTTAGTTTTTAAGGGGAAAAGGAGTGATCTGTAATTGTCTCCTTAACATTGCCAAATTGCCAACAGTCTTCTCAATCAATGATACAGTGATTGATTTGATAATTTTGCACTGTTATAAGCTAGTGCCGAGGAACAAATACTTACCCAGTCAACTATGCTATCATCAATGTAGGATTGAGTTCTATCAACAGGCCGACGCCCACTGATCAACTCTAGAAGCACAACACCGAAGGAATAGACATCTGACTTCTCTGTAAGCTTCCCAGAAGAGGCATACTCTGGGGCCATATAACTGCAGTTGGAACAGTGCATTTAGAAATTGTTCAAGAAATTTCCACTGCAAACAGAAAGCGGGGGGGGCGGGGATCCCAAGCCATCTACTCTTTTTAATCTTAATTTATTTCAAAACTCGATTACATTACACAAACTTGATTATGCACCAGTGATCAAAAACTTATCTTACCCAAAAGTCCCCATCACTCGAGTTGAGACGTGAGTCTCCGTATCTAAAGAATATTTGGCAAGTCCAAAATCAGCAACCTGAAACAAAAAAAAATATAATAATAAAAAAAATCCAAGTATACTCATCATGTTATATAATAGAATAAATAGGGTTAACCTATATAGTTTTACACAGCGATCTGAAACAATGGCCACATTATTTCACGAACATTAGTAAAACATACAATTTTTAGTATTTTAAGTCATGGTTCAACCTTGAGACAAATGGAGAGAATAAATTGATAGTTAGCATGTGACTGTTTAAGAATCGCAGCTTTGTATTCTAGATGTTTAAGGTTTTTAGGAATTATTCCAAAAGTTCACTACCACAGTATATTTCAAGTAATATTTAGTATCTAGCCTTTCTACTCCTATTGGGCGGAGATTTTTCTATGTTTGCGTTCTTCTATTCCTATAAGGATTGGTTTCTATAAATAAGAACCATATCTACATTATGAATATTGAATGATGAAATAAACTGAGTTTAGTTTTTAAAAAGTGGTTCTCTTGGGTTCTGTGTTGCTTTCACACATCTATTGCATAGCTGCCATAATGACTTCATTTTTCCCTGCTAATACTCCATTTTAAGGAAATTTGCATGTTCAAAAACTTTTGAGAAAGAGATATCCAAATAGCCTTAAGTCTAGAATAACACTGTACTTTTGTCAATTGTCGGTGTAGGGGAAAGGAGACGAATTAAGATTATGTTCATGGATGTTGGAGATTTAACTTCAAAAGTCAATTTGGTGGACACTTGAAAAATACCAAGTTCATCAAAAGATGATCATGAATCATTAAAGAACCATTTTAAATGTTACAAACCCACCTTTGCTTCGAAGCTCTGATCAATAAGAATATTGGCAGCCTTGATATCTCGATGTATGATTTTAGGCTGGCCTGAAAATATATTTTACAACAAAAAGAGATGGGAACTCAGAGACAAACAATTAAACATGAAAACCAGACAACCTAAACGTGGCAAACAAAATATACTCACAATCTTCATGCAGATATGTCAGTCCTTTCGCTGAGCCAACTGCGATTCTCATTCTTGTTGACCAGCTCATGGTCGGATTCCCATTTCCTGATATGTAAGATATCTATGGTTAGACGATGGTGACTTATCTTACAGCCACACAGAACACAAATTCATATCAATTTGCGGAATACTATGGTTCTCAATACAATGCCATGAATAATGCTAGAGACTCTTAACACATTTACTAAATTTAATTTTGTAACCAATGTTGCGGTTTATGACAGGTGCTATATTAATTATTTAATTCAATGTTTGTAAGTTTGACGTAAATGTGCTAAAGACTACATTACCTGGTTTAGCAAACTGTTCTCTAAGGTAAGTGGCAATTAATTAGTGAACGACTGCTAGTAGAATGGCCTGTACCCTTAAATGAGTAATTATACAAAATTTTAACACAATCACGTGCGACAATAACTTTTTTTCCTAGACACTAATCATTTATCATTTTTAGGACTTACAACCACTAACCAATCAACACATCAGTTTGTATTCCAACTTTAGCATTAAAAGTTTGGTTGTAAATCATTTTGCATGCTGACATGACTCTTGTACGGTATATTTGACCTTCTATTAAGGCCAATGCAGGGTTGATTCCAGTAAATGATGAAGAATCACATGCAGACACAGATCTGAGTTTTTACGTGAACTAAGAAATTAAGCATTATAACGGCAGAAGGATAAGCGAAGATAATTTGGACCTTGATTTTTTTTTGAAGGGGACTCACCATGCAAATGAAATTCCAAGGTGTAGTTGGGTACAAACTCGTAAACAAGCATTCTTTGGGATCCAGTAATGCAGTATCCAACCAGCGAAACAAGATGTCGGTGATGTACGCGGCTAATAATCTCAATCTCTGCCTGAAATTCACGCTCTCCCTGCCCGCTCCCAGATTTAAGCTGCTTAATTGCAACCACTGTACCATTTGCGAGGATTCCCTTATGAACGTAACCAAAACCACCCTGACCAAGGAGGTTGGCATTGGAGAAATTATCAGTCGCCATGGCTAGTTCTTCATAAGTAAAAGTAGTCTGTAAATATCCCAGAGAAATTCCAGAAGTATGTGATTTAACTTGTTTATCAGAGCCCATGCTGCTGCTTGTAGAAGGTTGCTCAGCATAAATACCAAGCATCTGTTGCAGTTGGTCATTCGGCGGAGCTCCATGGGGGATAGCAGGCTTCGGCCACATCATAATTTTATTGTCCGCAGCAGGAGCCATATTGGGCTGCCAATGCAGTGGCAAGCCATCATCTGGAGGCATTAGAACAGCATAGAAACATCAAGGAAAGTAAATGGCAAGAGTGGCTTGAATAGTAAGATGAATAGTAGCTTCACAAATCACAAAGAGCAGATACTAGATTCACAGAAGAACAAGCATGATGAGTCTATATGTAAGACCAAATCCAAACAAAACCATAAACGAAATTCTACAAAGCAATCATTTAAAAGCGGACAGCGAATAGGACAAGAAACGAAGCAAATTAAGCATAAAAACACAAATGCACATAATTTTATATTCTACGCAATTCAAAGTCAAAAAAGGCCAACCTTTGCTAGCCACTTGTGAAGGTTGACCACTGAGCAATAATCTCTGCGCTTCCTTCCTCTTCTTCCTCCGGTACACATAAACAGAAATACCCACACCTGCCAGCACTCCTAATATTACTCCTACTATCAACGCCGAAAGTACCGGCGTCGACGGGGTTGTCGATCCTGCTGGCGATGCCGGTGGAGGTGGCACTAGAGCACCACTCGAGTTCGTCGGAGGCGATGCCTGAGAAACAGTTGTGTTGGTTGTGTCAGGCGGAGGCGGAGAGGTGAGGCTCGATACTGGAGGCGGAGAGGTGGAATTGTTGGGGACAGGAGAAACTCCTGGAGCCGGAGACGACATCCCCGGTGATGTTTCTGGTGAGTGGTTCTTTGTAGTTAAAGCGAGTGTGTGAGCATGTGCGTGTGTGAGAGAGAGAGAGAGAGAACAGCCTAAGATTTTCTTTCTCTTGTGAACAAGGGTTGCTGAACAAGCGAAGAAGAAGAGCTGAGTGGTGGATCCCACTGAATTATAGACTGCACTGTGGCAACGGCGTCGTTTTGTGAATTTTTTTCCCCAGACAAGAACTTCGCTCGCTAATTACTTGTCTGTGCTGCGTATATTTCTTTTTAACTTTTTAGGGCAAATTATTTATTGGTCCCGATACTCTCTGTAATAAACTACTGTGTATTCGGAGAAGTCATGTTAGAATAAATATTTAAAAATAAAAAATACCTATAGAAGGTTCCATATTAAAATATATTTTATTTTGCTTCAAAAGTTAATGCGCTTACTTTTCAAAAATCAAATTCCAATTTGACGGGGCAGTCTAGTTGGTTCATCATCATCATAATCATATAAAGACATTGAATTTTATTAAACACGGTAACAATTTTGTTAATAGATTATTTAATGTTAAAAAATTACTTAATTTTAACATCCAAAAATCTAAACACTCAAAAATTAATTTTAAAAATTAAAAAATATAATAAAGTGGTATTCAGATAGTATTTCAATTTTCAAGATAAAAAATTATACATAAAAAAATAATAATGTTTTATATTATTTTAAAACATGAATGATATAGGGATATTTTTTTTTTCTTTCAACTTTCATCATCTCTTTTTACCTTTTCAAAGAGATGTTTTTTTATTATTATTTCAAGATATTAAGTAGAAAAATTTACTAGTCAACTAAATACAACTAAGATTATTAAAAATATATTTTAATCATTTAATAAAAGTTTAGAATAGAGAGGTATATAATTGAAGTTTTATAGTTATTAATATAATAATTGCTAAAAACTTACTAGAATCCGTAAAATTAATTAAAATTTATATAAATAAATATATTTTTAAAGCAAACTCGAATCATAAAAACAGTTTGTAAAACTCAAAAATCGCAATTAATTCATTTTTTAAAAAAAAAAAACCAACTTGGGCTGCTGCTCTAGTTTACAAGCAAGCAGTCAAGCACCGAAAAGCAGGTTTCTCTCTACGCAACAATTCCAAAATCCAGTCTTACGGGAACCAGAAGAACAACAATATATACACACACCAGGGCGGTAGTTGTTTCGTTTTTATTTCACATCATTTATGTTTTCTGGCACACACATATATAAAAAAGAAATAGATACAAAAGACGATTTACCTAGAAATTAAAATCCCCAAAAATCCACATAACTATACAGAAAAGGATTCTTGAAAGAAAAAACGACCTAAATCTCAAATTCCCATCATAGAAGGCAGGGGATCGAGTTGCTAAAGGAGCCTTCACGGAGGAGTTACTATAACAGTAAAAAAATACGTGAATGGACACTTGAAGATTGGTGGGGAGGTTTTAAAGGCTGTGGAGCTGGCGTCTTACCAGGTCTGAAAGAGGTGGGAGCTCACGCACATGCGAGCCAGGTTGGAGAGACTTGTGGGGGCTCAGAGCGAGAACAATAAAAGCATGGATATAGTGTGGAGAGAGTGGGAGAGCAATAAGGGAAAGAAAAGGACAAAAGGTCTTTTGAGATTGCTCCATCGGAGAAGTAAAGGTCACCGAGACAGAAGGAAAAGCATGGTGACGTGACTGTGTTATTTAAAAGTTGTTAATTATAATTAGCTTCAAAAGTTAATGCGCTTACTTTTCAATAATCAAATTCCAATTTGACGGGGCGGTCTCGTTGGTTGATTATTATTATTATTATTATCATTAAAGACATTGGATTTTATTAAACACGGTAACAAGTTTGTTAATAGATTATTTAATGTTAAAAAATTACTTAATTTTAACATCCAAAAATCTAAACACTCAAAAATTAATTTTAAAAATTAAAAAATATAATAAAGTTGTATTCAGATAGTATTTCAATTTTCAAGATAAAAAATTATACATAAAAAAATAATAATGTTTTATATTATTTTAAAACATGAATGATATAGGGATATTTTTTTTTTCTTTCAACTTTCATCATCTCTTTTCACCTTTTCAAAGAGATGTTTTTTTATTATTATTTCAAGATATTAAGTAGAAAAATTTACTAGTCAACTAAATACAACTAAGATTATTAAAAATATATTTTAATCATTTAATAAAAGTTTAGAATAGAGAGGTATATAATTGAAGTTTTATAGTTATTAATATAATAATTGCTAAAAACTTACTAGAATCCGTAAAATTAATTAAAATTTATATAAATAAATATATTTTTAAAGCAAACTCGAATCATAAAAACAGTTTGTAAAACTCAAAAATCGCAATTAATTCATTTTTTAAAAAAAAAAAAAAACCAACTTGGGCTGCTGCTCTAGTTTACAAGCAAGCAGTCAAGCACCGAAAAGCAGGTTTCTCTCTACGCAACAATTCCAAAATCCAGTCTTACGGGAACCAGAAGAACAACAATATATACACACACCAGGGCGGTAGTTGTTTCGTTTTTATTTCACATCATTTATGTTTTCTGGCACACACATATATAAAAAAGAAATAGATACAAAAGACGATTTACCTAGAAAATAAAATCCCCAAAAATCCACATAACTATACAGAAAAGGATTCTTGAAAGAAAAAACGACCTAAATCTCAAATTCCCATCATAGAAGGCAGGGGATCGAGTTGCTAAAGGAGCCTTCATGGAGGAGTTACTATAACAGTAAAAAAATACGTGAATGGACACTTGAAGATTGGTGGGGAGGTTTTAAAGGCTGTGGAGCTGGCGTCTTACCAGGTCTGAAAGAGGTGGGAGCTCACGCACATGCGAGCCAGGTTGGAGAGACTTGTGGGGGCTCAGAGCGAGAACAATAAAAGCATGGATATAGTGTGGAGAGAGTGGGAGAGCAATAAGGGAAAGAAAAGGACAAAAGGTCTTTTGAGATTGCTGCATCGGAGAAGTAAAGATCACCTAGACAGAAGGAAAAGCATGGTGACGTGACTGTGTTATTTAAAAGTTGTTAATTATAATTATTTTTAAAAACATTATTTAAAAATATATTAAATAATATTTTTTTATTATTTTTTTAAATTATTTTTGATATCCATATATCAAAATAATCTAAAAATATATTATTTAAAGTAAAATGATAAAAAATTTAATTTTTAAAAAATTACTTTTAAAACTTAAAAATAAATATAAACACAATTATAAAATCATGATTTTGAATTGTTTTATATCTATTTATTTGTTTTTTATAATTTAAAAATAATTTTTTATATTTTTATATTAATTTAAAAAATATTTTTTAAAATAAAAAATATAATTTTAAAAAATAATGATATTATTATTATTACTAGGCTGTTAAACACATCTAAACTAACTTTAAAAATCAATTTTCAAGTTTTTAAAATAATTTCACTTATAATAAAATGATATTACTTATAAAATTATATAATTTCACATAATAAAATCATAAATATTTTTAAAAAAATTATTTTATTTTTAATTTTTTTATATTTGATAATATTAAAAGTAATTTTTTTAAAAAAAATATTATTTTAATATATTTTTAAATAAAAAATAATTTAATAAATAATCGCTTTCACCATTCAAGACTCCTCAACCACCCTTAGCCTGATTCTGTCAGCTGTGAAGTTTTTAAAATAATTAAATATACTGTAACTTGTAAAATTATACAATTTTACCGGTTAAATCTTAATTTCAACAACCTTGGATCCAACTACCTTTCTTCGTTGCAGAAGAAAACTCCATAGTCTGTCTTTTCTTTACTTATATTCATTTTTCAAGCTGAGATCAACGCTTTTTTTAATAAGAAAAATATAAGTTAACGTGCAAGAAAATCTTTAAAATCTTTTAAAAGAAGATTTAACCTTAATTAACGCATAAATTGATTAAAAAATATTACTTCCCGTCAAATAATTTTTTTATTAATAATGAAATTAATTTACATGTATAATATGTTTCCTGTATTCCCTATTATGGATTCAAATTGTATGCTTTATCGCAATTAAAAAAAAAAAAAAAAAAAAAAGAGCAGTGGTTGAGCTGTTTAGACATCTGAAAATTATTAGAATATTAAAAAATAATATAAATTTTATTTAATAATTTAAATTATTGAATTAAAATAATATTTTAATATAATATCAGAAATTTAATAACTAAATAGTCATAAGGTTTGAATCTCATCATTCTTATTTATTTAATAAAAAATAAACACAGGATAAAGTAGACTTGTGTAAGTTTGAAATTCTAAATTTTTTTATTTAAAAGAGTATGCTAGAGAATAATATAAATCATATTATAAGATCTTACCTAACAGTTTAAACTATTAGATTGAGATGGTTATTTTATAAAAATCGTGTTTTTAAAAAATTTAAATTTTTTGTTAAAAATAAAAAAATTATATTTTTTGGATTATTTTAATACATTAATTTTAAAAATAATTTTTAAAAAATAACAAAATATTATTTTAATATTTTTAATATAAAAAATATTTTGAAAAATAATTAGAAGTACAACCACTAATTCAAGGTTAGAACAAAGGTGTAGCTAATTTAAACAAATTTATTAAGGAAAAGCAAGATTCAAAGTTAGATAATCAAAATCACGGAAGTTGTCGCCCTATAGTATCAGATGCAACTTCTTTCAAGATCTAATAATAGTTTTTCTTGATGTTATTTAAATTATTTCAACAAAAAATTCCTTATAAAGTTACATAATGAGGTATTATTATGGCTACATCGACCATTTTTTTTTCTCACTTTTTTCTCCTTAATTTTTGTGCTTGTCCCTCTCCAAAATAGCAAAATCATCAATCATTTTTTTTATGTTAAATCTAGTCTCCATGATGTCAAATTTAATTCTTATTTATTTAATTGTTATTTCTAGCAATGATTATAGTTTGATTTTGTAAAATTAATACTTAATAAATTAAAAAATGTTGTTTGAGATACTAAAAACACAAGACAATGCAAGGTTGAAAAGATATCAGGAAGAAAAAGATGAAAGTGCAATATAAAAGAAAGATCCAATCAACTGTTGATTGCAAAAGTTATCCATGATATTTTTATTTTTATTTTTATTGATTCTTTAAATTTTTTTAGTCTCTTTACTTTTTTTCTCAATTTGTTCCTTTCATATTAAGTTGATTTGAGATAAAGCTAGATGATTTGTTTTGAATGGCTTGACAT